CCGGCCCCGCTCCCTCCACCTCGCTGTCCCCGCAGCGGCGCCCACCGTGTCCCCTCTCCGGAGGTGGCCGCAAAGCAGCCCTCCATGTCTCCTTCAGGATGCGTCCCCACCTCGGCTCCCCCGTTCCCTGCATGTCCCCACAGATGTCCTCATAGCATCCCCTTGGGATGTGTCCCCATAGCGGCCACCCCCCGTGTCCCCTGGCTGTCACCTCCAAAGGTGTCCCTGCACCAGTCCTGCTGTCCCCTCCTTGTTCCCTCTGGGGGGGTGTCCCCATACCAGTCTTCCATCTCCCATTCGTTRGTGTCCCCCTCCCGGCCCTCCCTGTCCCCTGGGTGTCCTCTCTGAGATGTGTCCCCATTCCAGTCCCCCCTTTTCCCTGGATGTCCYCTCCAGGATATGCTGATCCTTCCCAACCTTCCCTCCAGGTGTGATGGCATTTCTGAGCCCCCCTGTCCCCTGCATGCCCCCATCACTTTATCAGCCACCCATGTCCCCTGCATGTCCCCTCCAGGTCACGTCACGGTGTCTGAGCCCTCCTGAGCTTCCCCACCCGGATATTTTCCCCTGCTGGTCACCCCCACGCCCCGGCCACCCCTCCCCGCCGGTGCTGGCCAGGTGTCCCCTCCTGGGCACACCAGGATGTTCTCCAGCTGTCCACCCTGGGACAATCCCTGTGTCCACCCTCCACGTTCCCGGGGCATCCCATCTACGACACGGGTGTCCCCTTCCGGATGGAGCGCCACACTTGGGTCACCCCCTGAGCATGTTCGCCAACTCTGTCCCCTCGTGTCCCCATCCCTCCGTGTTCTCATCTCCCTGGTCCTCCTCGTCGCCAGCCCTCCACATCCCCGTGTCCCCAGCCTCCCTGTCCCCAACCCTCCTCATCCCCAGCCCCCGTGTCCCCAGCCCTGCAGGTGGCCGCGACCCGCTCCCCTCTCCCGCAGGTCCTGCCGCGCAGGCGGGCGCGCTGCCGCGGAGGCTCCCGCGGGCCCCATGGCCGGACGGGCGGGTGGTCTCCCAAATCACCCACCCCAGCAGGCTGGTGGGGCACAGCTCGGGAGGAGAAGTCCCAAAGCATCAATTGGACACCAGGGTCAGGAATGAGCCCGGAGGAGGAGGCGGAGGAGGCGGAGGACCCGTAAGTGAACAACAGCCCCCAACCCGCTGCCTTTCGGGGTCCCTGGCGGGTGGCAGGTCCAGGTCCCCCAAGCAGCCGCCGTCACTTGGCCCAGCCGCACCCCAGCGTGTGCGTGGGCAGCGGCATCCCGAACTGGAGCCCTCGAACCCCYAGGGACCATCCCGCTGCCATCCTCCCCGGAGGGACACGGAATTGTGCCGCGAAATCCCATTAAATCTGGGAACCGGCGGCGCGCGGGCGTTGGGAGCGATGGAACGGGAGCGGGCAGGTGGCGGGCAGGACTCCCGCAGGAACGGACTCGTGTGTCCGGCAAGGACGGATCCAGACCACGAGGGAGCAGCCCTCTGTGTCCCACCCCGGGCTCGGGCAGCGGGCAGTGACCTTCACCCCGTGCCCGGCTGTCGCAGCGTTTCGGGGAGCAGCACCCGCGCCCCATCCGCCCCGGGGGAGTTGAGGTGTTGGCGGCCGCGGAGAACGGCGCCCATCGATCCCCGTCCGCGCCGGGTAAAGGCGAGATGAGCAGCTGCGCTCGCCGCAGAGGTGATTTACACCCGGCGTCGAGTGAAACCGCCGGACGCCGGGAAGCGCCGGCAGCCGCCGCGCTGGCGGGAGGCCAGGGGGTGTTAAGGGTGTCGGGGGGGCGGGAGCAGCGGAGATCCGGCGGAATTCGGGGCTGGGTCCCGGCGGCAGAGCCCTGCTGAGCGGTCCCCAGGGATGCGTTCGTGGCCCGGGACATCCCCTCCCCGTGGTGACAARCGGCTCCTCATCCCTGTGTCCTCACCCCGAGCTGCGCTCACCCCCAGCAAGGGGACACCGGGGCGGGTTTGGCTTTTCTGCCGTTTCCCCGTGTGAAGCACCGGAGGGAGCCGCAGCCGGTGCCGGGCTCTCACCCGTGCGCCGAGTTTGCCGGGCCTGAGGCCGCGCCGCAGCGCTCGGCTCCCGCTGCCGCTGCCGCTGCCGCTGCCGGCGGCAGGAATTAGGTCAGGAGCGGCGGCGCCGCAGGGCGGGAGAAGCGGCGGCTCGGCTGCGGCGGCCGGGCTGGGCCCAGCGCCGGGGGGACCCTCCGGCACCCCCAGCCCAGCACGGCACCCGCGGAGGGGGGCGATGGGACGCAGGTGCCACCCCAGTGSTCCAGGCGTCATGGGTTTGAGGAGAAAAAACGGTTTTCCTTTATGATGATTTTTTGGGTTAAAAAAAGCACACATCTTTACAGGCTGCGTATTTGGGTTGGGGTTTTAATTATTATCGTAGTTATGAATTTCTGGGGGGCTCACGGC